GGTTTATTGAGGCAAACTGTATATTCAGAGAATTGGATGGTTCTTAACATCTAACAAATGTATATGTACCCAAAGACCCAACACGCCAATAAACATATATGAAATTAACATTACCCCCCAGCCACATCCAGTCTATCCTCATCCCCCACAGTCAAATACTCTTCTGATTTCTATCACCGTAAATTAGTTGTGTTTCTTCTGGCGCTTAATATAAATGTAATCACACAGTTTGCACTCTCTTCTGTCTGCCCCCTTTCTGAAAACATAATATTGCTGAGATTTATCCATATTGGTACATGTATCAGTACCTCATTCTTTGTTATTGCTCAGTGGCATTCCATTGCTTGAATGAACCACACAGTGTTTACCCGTTCTCCTATTAATGGGCATTGGGGTTCTTTACTGTTCTTGGTTATTATGAATAAAGCTGTTATAAACATTCTTTTACAGGTCAGTTTGTGAACACATGCCTTTATATCTCTTGTGTAAATACTTAGGAGTGGAACTGTTGTGTCATAGTCACTGTTTGCCACCATTACTTTACTATTCATATCAGTAAGCACTGCAATAAAAGGGCAAGACTAAAACTTTTAACCTACAAAAATGTAGGTTAATTTTTCTCTTTCCTATAAGGAAAGTATCTGACACTTCTCAAAAATATAACCAGTTGTTTTACTATTTTATTTCAGTATAAAATTGTCCATTAAAATTTCATTAGTGATCTTATTTCCTATAACCTATGTTTTCCCATAAGCCTTAAGTTACGATCCACAAATTCTCTACCACTAGAGGTTCCTTGAAAACAAAAAAATAGCATAGTTCTAAAACTTGTTGGAAGCACTGAAAAACATCTGTTCAAGTGGGGAAAAATTGCAAATCGTAACTTGACAACAAATGTTGTGCTTGTATCTAGAATGCATGCTACTTCATTGAGTTTTACGATCAAAAAGGAATTTGGAAATTCTCTACAAGCGACTAAAGTCTTAGTACTCTAAGTCCCTTTTCCAACATAAATGAACTTCATAACACGCTATTTTAAGCTATGGCCCAGAAAAGCTCATAATTTTACCATACCAGTAGCCTGTTGACACTAAATAGACTTCTAAAAACAGTCATCCATATTGTTCTATGCATCGGTAGTTCACTCAGCTTGTACAAGGAGGTTAATTTGGGTATTTTGTCATTGTTTTCTAAATGTCTAGAGTAAATGACCTAATTCTAAGACCCTGTAATTATACAATCTGAGATCTTACAGAAAAGAACACTCCCTAAAGATACATCCAGAACCACTATGATATACCTTATGAATTATCCTACATTAGCTCAGGTAACTCAGATGCTTGCTTTTCGTGCTCTGTTTTTTAATTTACCTAATTTGTGTGTCATTTTAAACAATAAAAATGATTGACATATCAATTGTAAGCTAAAGACAATAAACAAGTGAGAGATTTATTTTTTAATGTATTTCCACACATAAATTATTTTAAATGTCAAACACTATCTATCAGGTTATTTTGGTTAAAGCAGTGTTTTGTTTTTCCTTTAAGATAGAAAGTTGGCTGCTTTTCTTTATTTGGGTTTTTTTGTTTTTGTTTTTGTTTTTTACCCCATACTTAAACATTTAACAAGTGAAGCTTAATACTGTATAATGTAAGTGATTTGGAAAACATAAAGGGTCAATTGCCATTTTTTAATTACACCTACATCGCAAGCATAACAGCTACTCAATTATGCCATTACTTTTGTGACAGGATGCAATGACTTTTCATCTGGAGTTGCTTTCAATTGGGTCTCAGTACTGTCAGCAGATAGGTTAAGCAGTTGTTCTCATAATGATACTTAATTTTAAGGGACCATTTTTACCCATACACAACTAATAAACAATTTCACATTCTTCCATCAAACAAAAAAGGTAATGAAGGCTATGTCTTAGGCCATCAAAAAAAAAAAAAATGTAAAGACCTAGTTTAGCATTTTATAGCTGGAAGGGATCTTAGTTTCTATCCACATCTCCTTTTATAATTAAGGAACTTGAAGTCCAGAATAATTCAATGAATTCTCTATGCCCATACAATTAACTGGGTTGGAAGGGCTAAAGGGTTCGAATTAAGGTTCAAATTAAGAGTTGGGCCTCCTGATTTCTCGAAGTTGTTCTGCATCAAGCAAACATGACTTGACATTTATTTGTATGGGTTGGCTTGCAGATTCCTTATGGAATCAAGATTCTTTCTGCTTTACTATATTTCTACTACTTGAAGCAAACGAAATTTTTTAGTTACTGGCCACATTCTGATTGACTCACCATATATTTATATACAATAACTAGTCTAGTTTGTTTGAAAACATCCCTCGACTAAGGAGTTGATAGTTTCAACGTTTCTTAAACGTGAAGAATGATTTACAACTTAAGGTAATTTAAGTGGTGTTACTGAAGAAGTAGAAAAGCTTTTTAAAAGAATAAGGTAAATATGTACACCGCTGAGGAATTGGGTAATCTCAATATCAAAACAGAAGAGAAATGCAAAAATTCACCTTAGGACATGTAAAGAGAAGTGGAGAAAAGTAGAATAGAGGTCTCACAGAATATTTTTATCTCACATCTTTCTTTATAAAATGGCAGAGGGAATATTTTTAAAAACTGTAATGAAATGGGCCAATCCAGAAAGTAGGAAACAAACAATAAACGAGCAGTATTTTGACTGCAACCCACTCAGACCAGCAGAGCCAGAATGTCTTTGTTGCCACAAGGCAGCTGGTGTCTGAGCACACAAAACCCTTTTATTTCAATGTCACAATAAATCCTGGGGCATAAAACCAGGGGCAGACTGCAGAGCTTGGTTCTCCAAGACAAGACAACATGGATCACAGCTAAAGTCAAATGCCAACTAATGTTCCCACCAAAATGGAAAAAATAAATAAATAAATAAATAAATAAATAACTGATTAGAAAAAAATGTTTAAAAACATTTTTTAAATTAATTGTTTAGGCTGAGAGAAAGAGGGATTCTGACTTGATGTTCAGCTGACAAAACAGATTGCACATTATACAATACCCTCTCCAGAAAGAATGATCTCATATTTCAGAATCTATAGGGGAAATCAGCATAACACAGAAAAAAAAAAAAAGTAGGGGCATCATTTCCTTTCCACATATTCAGGATGATAGGCTGATACCAGCAAATCACGTGAATTATGAAAGTAGTAATCACTAGATTTATATGAGTACATCTGTTTAACAGCCAAGTGGGTATGAGAATTTGATGAAATAACAAATTTATAACATCTAGCACAGTTTTAGGCCTTATACCAGATATGATTTCAATATTCATTTATTATAATCATGACCCCAACCTCTAGCAACTTAATGATTATTCTCAATACTAATTTTACCTCTCTGAGAATATGGTAAGTATGATAAAATAAGTGCTGATATCTATGTTCAAGTCATTCTCAGGAATTTAAAATTCTGACTACTTAAGCCCCTTCCTTCATTCTGATGCAAACAGAACAAGAAATAATAATACAAGGGCTCAGAGGATATTATTACCTATATTTCTAGCTTCAAATATTTAGCTCAACAGTCATCTTTCCTACAGGACCAGGCTCCTGACTTTAGAGCTGCCCTTAGCCCTTACCCACCTCCCCCCCACCGCCTCCCCTCACCCCATCACTGCTGTAGGATTGGTAGATATTCTCTGAAGGCAAGTCCCATTCCTTACTCTATTGTTTTCTCTCTGATTTTTTCAAAGCTCTTTGTATGTACCATTTACATTTCTCCAACATTATGCCAAATTGTAATTCATTAAATATTTACTGAGGATTTAATGTATGCAAAGCAAACGTCTTGACCTCAGTTCTGTGATTAACCCTTACACACAAAAGTTCTGGAAAAATTTAATTGGCTCTTTTCCAATTCACATTTCCGGAAGTTTCCCAAAGTTTAGTTAAAATATTTTAAAGAAGTTTATCAGAATATGACCGTTTCTACTTAAGTACTATGCTCTTGTATGTTAATTTTTCAAAATATTAAATGAGGAAATTTTCATTTTTTTCCTACTTTGAATGGATTTAGAAAAAATTGTTTTTACAAGTTATACATAACATTAGAGAAACATTACTTTTCACTAGAAACAAACCCAAATACTTATTAAGGATATACTGTTACATGTTTATTCATATTCCAATAATGGAAATATCTGAAATGAGTCTGCAATCAATTAAATCAAACCTGATGTGGTCTGAAGCGTTTGGATTTGGAGGAGACGTCTTCAGTGCATAAAGGTAATTTTATTAAAGCATGGGGATAGGAACCCTGGGCAGAAAGAGCTGCACTGGGGTTGTGACAGGTGACTGATTATATACCTTCAGGTTAGGAGGGGGTTAGGGATAGAGAGTCTCTAAGGTATCTTGGAAACAAGGTTTCCAGGACCTTGAGGGGGCTAGCTATTGTTAGCTATCCTTAGGAACGGTTCATTTACTACTGTCTAGTAAACCCTCAGCCATGAGACCCTTCAGATGTATATCAGTGGGCCATAAGCTTGGAGTATGATTGCCAATATATATCTTGGGGGGTAGAGATGAAGGAAGCTTCCAAAGGAATTTTTTTATGTTAAAGTAGACTTACAGGATCCTGGGGGGGTTGGGCTGAGATTGCCTTTTGCCTTTAGCAAAGTATCAACATGGAGGTAGCTGGGGCTCTCAGAGGAATGCCACTCTGCCTGTCTCAAGGACTCGTAAATGGGACGTAAGTTGTAAGGATATTTAATTTCTTTTTCTGCCTTTGTTTCCCACATCAAAAGATGAACAAGAGAACTTGTTTCTTTCTCTCTCCCATTCTCTCTCTCTCTCTCTCTCTCTCTCTCTCTCTCTCTCTCTCTTTCTCTCTCCCTCTGTCACACACACACATACACACACACACACGAATGACACCACAGGCAGTATATTTGTGATTTTTTAAAAATCAAGTGTACCCTGTAGCTCAACTGCCAACTTGGCCTTACCTGCAGCCATAACTTGTTATGCACAGCATCTCTCCCTGTAGCAATACACTGAAATGTAGCGTTCTGCCCTGCATTGACCTCCACGTCCCCCAGACGGAGGAAATGAGGAGATTTATCTGTGAAGGCAGAAAAAATTTTTACTGTTTTCACATGAAGAAAACGTGCCATGTTACTTTTTCCCAAGAGAATAATGTGGTTAACACTTTTAACCTTTGGCCAAAACTAATATCGTATGGAAGAAAATTGAGTTTTCTTTGTGCTTATATACACAATCCTTCCCACAATTCTCTTTTTTCCCCCCTCCATAGCCCTATTACTTATTGCCCGTAATTGCAGGAGCACTGTTGTATACAGCGAGAGCACTCAACAATTACTGCTGAAGGTCGGTCATAGTGTGTTACATATGGGTGATAATAAAACACTTACAAGTCAAAGAAAGCAAGAGAGATCAAATAGGCATAAGCCAGAGCATAACGGAAAAGTATAATGAAAACATACAGTGATATCTAACATACTGATGAAGATGTGGCCATTGAACTATTAATTTACAAGTAAGCAGTTAGATCTCTCTCTTTCTATTTATTTTTTTTCATTTCAAAAGCTATGATTCTCTAGTATTTCAAAGACCAAGGAAATATTTTTGTTTCTCTCAAATAGATCAGCATAACTGTTGCTAAATCCACTTCCTATCCATTCAGAGTTATAAGAAAGTTACCCAAAGACATAGCAGACCAACAAAAAGTGGTAACTTTAGTCAAAACCTACGTGAGTTATATGACTGTCAAATTAGTGTTCTCTATGATTACCTTTTAGAAATGAAGCTTATTCATGTTTTCCACTGAAAGTAAATATACACAGGAAAAGCTAAGACACGGTGACTGAAAGCAAGTTCCTAGAGGCCCAAAGCACAATAAAACTGTTGTTGTCAATTTATATTTCTACTTGTTTACTCCTGAGAGCCTTTCTTTCACATTTCTCTTTCAATAATTATAAATGAACAGTGGATGGAAACATCATTCTCATGTACTAATGGGCTGAAAGAATTTAGCAAACCAACTTGAACTGTAAGTGAGATGATTTTGTCCTCTTTTTCTTAGAACATACTACATGGAATAAATCATTAGACCCTTGCCTACTTGCTACCTCTGTCTTAAGCTCCTCATTTTTGTATAGGCATCAAAAAGAGAAATGCTTGAGCTAAATGTGACCTGGAACTGTGGTTCTCAAATTGTGAACTCCAGGCCAGCAGCAGCAGCATCACCTGGGAAATTATTAGAGATGAAAATTTTCAGCACCACCCCCTATACCTACTGAATCAGAACCAAGGAGGGTCACACAATCTATGATGTGCCACCCCCGGTAGTGAGGCAGATGCACACTGGCATTTACCAAGCACTCACCAGGCACACAGCCTTGGCCCCTGGCACGGTGTCCCTGCACCCCCACCCTGTGCATGGTGCCTACAATGGCGACAAAATTTCCACCAAGAGGATCACTGAGCAGATCATCTAGAAGTCATGGGCCCTTTAAAATGCCGTTGTTGGGAGATATAGGTAAGCTCTGAATTTACGCCAGTGGTTTTATATCTGGCTCCACTGAATGTGATGTACACATAAATTTAGTTATACCACCAATGTGCATCTGAGATCAACCAATGTGCATCTAGATCAACCAATGTGCATCTAGAGACATAACAAAACAAGGTATTACTAAACTGAGTCACTTTTTGTTTGCTGTCGATTATTTTGTTGTTTTATATGGATTAACCAGATATTTATTACCAAAACTTTAGTCTGAAGTTTGGAATAGGTGAACTAATTCATTCTCTTTCCTTCACTCCAACTTTCAACTGAGCAGATCACATAAGTTAGTAAGGTTTCTTTTAGTTTCCTTTCCGTTGAGCTCTGATTTGTCATTCTTCTTTACTTTCCTAGATTGTTTAATGAAACCAAAAGATAGGGTGCCTGAGTGGCTCAGTGGGTTGAGCGTCTGACTCTTGATTTTGGCTGAGGTCAAGATCCCAGGGTCATGGGATTGCGCCCTGCAACGGGCTGCGTGCTGAGCATCAAGCCTGTTTGGGAAACTTCTCTCTCTCTCTCTCTCTCTCTCTCTCTCTCTCATAAATAAATAAATAAATAAATAAATAAATAAATAAATAAAACCAAAAGATGGAGCATGTCCTATCTAGAGTTTCATTTACATCTGCATTTTGTTCTCAGTAATTCAATAGCTAAAAGAATCCATTAATCTGTGTAGAATTAGTTATAATTCTGAAAAATATTTGCTTTGAAAATTCTAGAAATGCTTCAGTGTTCTTTTAAAAGTGAACAGAAGGCTAGGAGTAAAAACAAAAGAGACTGGTATGGCCAAATGATGAACAGTCAACGGTCACTGCCAATATAAGACAAGTCTTGAAAGGACATAGAAAAATACAATTCTTAATCACAACCTACCACAAGGATAACTCAGTACTTGGATGTCATCAATGGCAATATAACCACTCCTTCCTCCTGAGACTTCAGCTTCAAATATTACCTGTCAGAAAGAAACAGAAACCATTGGCAACAATCATTTTTAAGGAATTTTCACAGTAAAAGAAGAATAGCTATAGCACACTTACAAAAATTAATTTTGAGTTTTATCCTATAAGAATTAAAGATATCTTATAATGTAAGTCTTCCCAAATCTTGTCCAAGTAAACAATAAAAATTACTGAGGTTAAGCAGCAAAAAAAAAAAAAAAAAAAAAAAAAAAAAAAAAAAAATTAAGCAAGTGCTATTATGCATTAGAATTCCTGAATGGGCTATATCTAGGTAGAATGAATAAATAGCTAAAGTTTCTCTTATTAATTTTCTCTGTTTTTCTTACTTATTTAAAATACGTTGAGCACCTAAAATGTACCAAGCAGTATGCTAACCAATCAAATGATCTAAGCTTTTAAGTGCTAAATTTTCAAAACCAGAGGCCATTCGATAGAGTAGAAGTATTCCAGGCAAAAGAAACAATATACAATGGAATGGAATAGAGCTGTGTGTTTGGGAAACGAAATGAATGTCATCTGACTGATTAAAAAGGTTCAAAAGGGAAGAGGTGAGATTAGAGAGCTAGGCATGGAACACCTTGAATACCATGGGACTAAAATCAGGAGTACATCCTGTCAATAATCCCATATTAATAAATATTAAACAAAAACATTTCCATGTTCAAATATAAGCTTGTGTTATAGAGTTGTGTTGTCACAACCAATAGAGAAACTTCATATAGTGTGACTTTTCAAGAGAAACCATATTTCGCATGCCACATTTCAATATTACATTTGACTATGGGCTCCCTTATTCATGGAGATACACAGATTATTTTTGGAGTATTCTGCAAAACATTTTAGGAAATGTAATGGAAGCTGATGTTTAAAGTAGGAATATATGTAAACAAGTTGATCTATTAGAAACATATATATGCCTATAAGGCAAAGGATGGACCAAAATAAACTGAGGCTGGAAATGCTCAGGTTGTATGCTACTAGTCATGTAAATAGACAGATGCAAAGAAAAAGGAGAGATAAAAATAAAACTAAGGAAACAGACAAAATAAAACTTATTGACTTGTTAGTTGTGGTGAAATATAGGTCAATTCTGGCTCCAGGGTTGCACCACTAGGTGAATGATGCTATTGGAATCCCTATCCAGGACTAGTGATGCAGACAATGTACAAAGTTGAGGGAGAAATGACTAAGTACATTTCAAATCTGATTTGCCTAGGGTGCTTATGGGATAACAGGACAAACATATCTCAAATAAAAGAAATAGGTTCACAATAAACCTTTATTTTTTTATTTTTTATATTAAACATAATTTATTGTCAAATTGGTTTCCATACAACGCCCAGTGCTCATCCCAACAGGTGCCCTCCTCAATGCCCATTAACCTTTAGATTTAGATGTGATCATGGAAGTAAGTTACAGATTTGAAAGTGAACATGATGGGTGAATAAGATGGCACAGTAAGATGAAGAGGAGAAAACCACTGAAATAGAAGGCAACAATACAGCAGCAGCAGGAAAGCCAACAAAGTGTGATTCAGGCATAATGATCAAGGAAAGAAGAGAAGTATCAGGAGGTTTCAGGCAGGTGAACACTCCCATCAAAAAGAAAAACAAAATTAGAAAGGGCCAGAGAAGCTATAATAACCATAATTTTAAAATATGAGATATCTGTATAAACAATGGCATCTAGATGAACACAAATTTCAGGAGAATGTCTCTCCAATGTGATTCCATGATTTGCAGCCATATCTCCTTTCCCATGGGCATTATTTGACAATTCAGGGATCAGGGTGCGGTTCTAGCTCAGCACAAACCTAGGGCCTCTGCTGGGCAAAGATGAAAACAGTGAAGCGTGTTGTGCAGCATTCTAGAAATTTGGAAGTCTAGATAAAAAAAGATGTAGGAAGTGGCAAAAAAAAATATGAAAGGTAAGAGAGAGTTCGAGAAAAACTAAATTAAAAAGTATTGCCAAGATGAGGTCAGGAAGACCCAGTTAAATAAATTGCTTGGATTACATGTGATAATTCTATCACAGGCGTTCTGAGTTCAACTTTCTGTTATATGAGGTACATTCTCTCTATTAATTCAGTTTGCCAAAGGATAAAGTCCTTGTTCTTTAGGGTTTGCCTTTCCCCCCTCCCCATTTTAATTCAACCTTACTTCACTTATTTAGTTAATAATCCAAGAATGTTGCTAGAGTAGCAAAAAAAATTGATTGGAATCATTACCTTCAGTATTTCAGGTAATGGAGTGGAGTGAAAACAGCATGCAAAAAGAGCCTGTTCATTCTGTTCCCAGGCTAGCCTCTTAGATGGGTGAAAGGTGACATCTGTTATGGCTTCCATTGCTCCCTTCTTCTGGGAAGCCCTGGTTGTCTACCTGACACCAAACATTAGATCTGGCCTGAGCATTTGCTCAAGCAAGCTTTCCATAATTAAGCTACTGAGATTTGTTTCCCCTGACTGGACACAGGAGCCTTACAAGGTGAGGGCTCTGTTGAAGTGATAAAGCTGATTAGATCCTTAGTAGTAAAGGAATCTGATCTTAGAAATTTCCTCCAGCTCTTGTTAATGAGGCAAAGACACACTTAGCAGGGAAAATGAGGTCACTAAAAAGAGAAACTTTTTTTTTTGCTATAAAAAAGAACTGATTCTTTTGTTCCCTTTTAAATCAAGGCCCGAATCTATTGTCCAGAATAAAAGCTCAATTTAAACGAATTAGAAACTTTTTCCCAGGGAGTGTAGTAAACATGCACAAGCTTATCACCTACGTGAAGCAAAGGAAGTAAAACAATTGGAGAAAGTAAAACAAAGATAAACAGGAAATTAAAATAATTTAATGTTGGTTGCAACAAAAGTGAAATAACCAACAACAATTAATTACACAGATATGTGGTCTATTTATAAAAATGTAGTTCTTCAAAAATGGCTTTCTCACTTTTTCTTTCTGTATCTTCTCTTTTCTTGGACTACCATTAAAGCAAATAAAACTTATTTTCCTGTGATACACTTACATAAATCTCACATATTAACAACATTGATGAGCTTACTGTTTGGTTTATATAGCACTTTTACACCTGTTACTATTTAATCCTTATAAAACCTTATAATGAAAGCTGCAATATATCCATGTTAAGGATTTGGGATTTGGCTCTAAAAGGTTATGTGATTTGCTCAAGAATTTGTAAACAGGAAAGTTGGGAGTCAAGTACAAGTTTTCTCACCCCCCAGGAAAGGGGCCTCTACCACAGCTGCTCCAAGTTATACGTTAGTTAATGTCTCTGATTCTCCCTTTTATTTCTCGCTAAGCCTTTGTTCCAATACTTGGAAAGTGACATGACAATTGTTTTCATATCAGATACACTTCTATGAAATGTAAAACACCTGCACACACACACAGGTGCGCACACACACACACACACATTTCTGTGTTCATAGATTAGCCATCTTTTCATTATGAAGTATTTCTCTTCCTTCAAAGACCCCTGTTCTACTTCTCAGCTTCACTTTATTCCAGTGAAGTCAGTAATTATGAGGACAAAGTAGGAAAGAAGTAACAAAGGACAAGGTCTACACTAGGAATGGGTGGATGGGAGACAAAACAACCACCCAGCCTCCTGTGTCCCATTGCCAATGGCTTTGGGACCATAGGAGTGAGTATAGTATGAAAATAGGCAGAGTGTAATGCTGATGGAACTGCTACCTAGTCAATGTAATATCTAATCAACGTACTATTTAAAATGATGTTAATCTTTAAAAATCTAACATGTTAGCATCTTAAAGGAAATTTGAAGCCCGTTTAAAGGAAATGCTCTCTTTGCATTTGGTTCTTTATCTTGAGACACAGTGTAGTGAACTTGATGGAAGAATAGAGGCTGGAGGCAGTTTGACTCAGGTCCTTTCCTGGCTCCGCCACTTGTTAACTGTTATGACTTTGGTCCAGTTACTTAACTTTTCTTTAAAATGAGGATAAAAATAATACCAACCTTGTATGATTGTGGTGAGGAGTGTGTGTGTGTGTGTGTGTGTCTCAGTTGGTGGGTGGGGGACACAAATAGGAGCATGATGATGCGTATGCTAGCTTAGGATAGTCTCTTGTATATAGTAAGTGTTCAGTAAGTATTGTTTTTTTAAATGTTTATTTTTGAGAGAGAGACAGAGACAGAGACAGGGTGCGAGCAAGGGAGGGGAGAGGGGCAGAAGAGAGAGAGACAGAATCCAAAGCAGCCTCCAGGCTCTGAGTTGTCAGTACAGAGCCTGACACGGGGGCTCGAACTCATGAGCCAAGCCACGAGATCACGACCTGAGCCGAAGTCGGAAGCTTAACCAACTGAGTCACCCAGGTGCACCAATAAAGGTTAATTATTATCAGCTCAGTCAGCCAAGCTTCTGTCCCCTTCCTTTAGTAAAACTGTCTGCCAAAAGTTACCAGAAAACTCCTAATTGATACTTCTTTTTGAATTTTTAAGATGCCTTCCTTCCTTCCTTCCTTCCTTCCTTCCTTCCTTCCTTCCTTCCTTCCTTCCTTCCTTCCTTCCTTCATTCTTTCTTTCTAGAGAGCAGGCGCACAAGTGGAGGAGGGGCAAAGGGGAGGGAGGGAGGGGAAGAGAGAGAGAGAATCCCAAGCAGACTCCATGCTCAGCATGGAGCCCAATGTGGGCCTCAATCCCATGACCCTTGGATCATGACCTGAGCCACAATCTAGAGCTGACTCAACTGACTGAGCCACCCAGGAGCCCCTAATTGATACTTTCTACCATGACAGGATTGAGAATGATGAGCCTGCAAAAGGAGGAGGAGATTGTAGAAAGAAAAACAAAATTGTGTAGAAAAATAAAAGTGAGACGGACACAAAATGTCACAAAAGCTCGTAAAAAAATGTCTTAAGTGGAAGAGATGTCAGGACCTCATGGTTTGTGAGATGGAGCCCTGCATCAGGATCTGCACTGACAGCCGAGAGGCTGCTTGGGATTCTTTCTCTCCCTCTTTCTCTCT